AAAAAAAACAACATCGAACGCTCGAGCAAGGCAACCAATAATCTTTCCCGCCAATTTCCATCGCTGTCAAATTTGGAAGCGCGTCGCCGCCACCCCAGCGCCCCCTCGGCCCGGATCAATTTACGATAACTCGGTTTGAGCGCTCCGTCCCGCTCCGCCTTAAGACACCCGGCTATGCCCGTCTCCCCCCGGATAACTTCTAGAACTATACAGCCGGTATAACGGAAAGTGCTATAACTAACAATTTTAATTTTTCTTTAAAATAATTAAAGATTTAAGTCTTCAATATCAATTTTGACTTGAAATTAACTTTAATTTTACTTATGTAAAACGTAAGACTGTTAAATTCGAATTTCTAAACATTAACTTGATCAAAAACCTTTTAAATCTATATATACTAGTTACATCTTAATTTATCTCGATGATTTTTAGTAGCCTGAGGACTCGGGAACAAATCATTGACATTTTTGTAGCTACTAATATGTAAATAAACAAAAATTTACAATTTTAAAGTTGTACTAGTTCTCATAGTGCCTCTGAAGGGACCATTCTCTCACGCGGATATGGGCCGAGACTTATTTTTAACTGTTGTGTGCGTCTTACGTGGCCATGTGTGCACGGGGGCTGGTTTACGCGTGTGTGCGTTTATTTGAAATATTCCCCCGTACGGTGGCGCACAGAATTGATGTTTTTAATTAGTTTGAAACACATTTCGAAGGTGGCTTGTATTGCGTTTATATTTTTTTCTACATTAGAAGATATCGGTGGCGGTAATTAATGCGCTGCGGTTTTCATATACGGCTCACTTCGCCTTTTTATTATATATTTTATATACGTTGCATAAAGTAGTTTTGTTAGTAAAATAGATTATTAGCTGAAAAATATTAGAATACATTAACAAAGGCGTTGAGTTAGCAGTTAAAAGTTTAATCGAATGCCCTCCATTCGCGTTGAACAATTTCGTCAAAGTTACACTTTAAATGTTTTACATTTCGCTGTGAAGCTACGTAGCTAACCCGTGGAACGTTTCCTGAAAACTTTCCTTTTGTAGGCGAAAATTCAATAGGCGGGGAAGTTGGTTCCGTCACAAACCGCATCTCATTGTCGGTAGGTTAACTAACATTTAAAATTTATTCACGCAAAAGCAAAAATAACTAAAGCAATCCAAATCATAAATCCAACGCAATTTCGAATAAACCTTTTTTAAAATACCAAGCTCATATAACTTGTTTTTTTTTCGAACGCAACGCCGATTCTGAATTTAAATTTGGAATATCTTCCGAATCGCTGGAATTTCATTTGAATACCGGTACATATATCGCCACAGAGCAGCAGAGATAAAGTTTATCTTTTGCGCTACTGGCTAATGGTGGAAGTTCGGAGTTGGATCCGCGTTATCTGTGGGTCGTTCAAAGTTAGTTCGCTGTGCACGTGTATATGGGCCGTATATTTATTGTAGGTTGGAATACCTGTTGCTCGCGCCGAGGCTTTTGTTTTTGTTGATCGTTCACTAGTTTTGGCGAAGCGCCGTCGGTTTCGAGTTGAAACAACTTTATTAAAGTCATGTGGATGGCCACGTAGAGGCTTTTCCGAATAAAAGTCCGATGTTTCGTGTTTGTGTTAAGTCAATTTTGTTAGGAAACTTCTATTTAATTGGCAAAATCGAATCGACTTTGTAGTGTTGGATTTTCTCAGTGTAGTTGCTTGCTGACTGTAATGATTGAAATAAATTGGTAATGTTTCATTGTTACATTTTTGTCCCTGTCTACCCCGTTAGTGATAAAAGGTGTGAAGGTTTATGTTTTAAGTAGACATAGTTACAGTACAGTTCATTGTAAGTTCTTATAACTCCAATCACTGTAGCGTCGGGGTCCCGAAAAAAATCTTATCCCGTTTATCCCAAGTTCCGTGGGGGCTCGAGGAATGGGATGGGTCGCCGTGAGGGGGGCTCCTCCGCGCCTGTGTGAAAGAATGCCGGGGAATCAATACAGCGGTGCACATTAAATTGGCCTGGGTTACTATACAAGACTTGACCCTGATGTTTTTTGGCTGGATATTTTTTCGAGTTTAAATAATTTTATGTTATATAAATGTTTTTATTACTTTATATGAAAAAAATTCTAAATATTATTCGCGCGCCAAATAAAATATTTTTTAAGAAGATTGTCATCTTATACTAACTAAATTAATTATAGCAACTCGACTGAGCAAGCGTTTTGTACAGCTATATTTTTAATACAAATTAATTTATGAAAATAGTGATGTGAACTATTAAGGTACATCCCTAGAGCAGATAATCCTCGACCCATTTACCCCACTGCGGAGTAATCGTCGCTGTGATGGCGGACCGAAAAAATTAAAATAAAAAACCAAAACGCAAAAAGCGAAAATGTTATCCCCAAGATTTTCCCCGCGAGCGTCTTAAACAAAAACTTCAATGAGAGA